ATGAAATTTACATCTTAAGCATAAAATGTAAAATTTTTGTCCTAAATCATATTTTGACAATCATTAAAATACATTAACACAACCTAAATATGCATTTTGTCCAAAAATTGTTCCAGCGATATAATAATTAATAGATCGCAATCGCTGCAGTTTTAAAACTGAAACGGGTTAGGCAACGCACTTTTTAACGCGTTCTCGCTGAAACCACGATATTTTAAAAAAAGATCTCAAAAAAATTTGCACGTACTTGTAGCGCTTTGAAAGTTATGCAGAACTAACTTTTAAAACGGGTTAAGCTAACCGACCAATCCAGATTCCCTTCCACTTCCAGTATTGCCAGACGATGCCTGGCATGTCACGCGCAGCGTGGCCTGGCCCCTCTTCGTAGGCATGCGCCGTGCGGTCTCTGGTCTCGAAACGAAATAATTCCAGTCTTGTGAAAAGCCTGGAATGCCCAAAAATTCTTCAAAGCCCAAAATAATTGTTTCAATGTTCAATTGCAAAATTTTCAACTTTTGTTTGGATGATTTCAAAAAAATATATATGTCTGAATGTTTTTAACAGTTCATACAACATTGCATGTTCAGTTGAAAAATTTGTGATTGGACATTGGAGTTCAGCGCAGCGTCGCGTCTACGATCACGCGCGCAGTGCAACCCCAAAAATGAACGCCGATTTTTAAATTATGCCGGAAACTACGTCAACGTTAACCATGCGTTGCTTGGCCCATTTGATTTATCACAGGTAAGTGCGCAATTCGCGGAACGCGCGCAAGAGCTTTGCAAGAGCGCCTTGCAAGAGAGCCTTGCAAAAGCGCGCAAAAGCCTTGCAACGTAAGGTTACGTCAACGTGGGTTAAGGAGGTGCACCTGAAACTACGAGTTTTAGGTAAAAATGTAATATGAATATGATTGCGATACTGTGTACTGTACTGTAAGTGTGATGCGCGGATGCCTGGTCCCGTCTAATGAAATAAAATTTCATTAGACAATAGACGGGATGAAAACTTTTGGCTGTCAAAACAGCGTACTACATTGACGGATGTTACTCGTCTAAATTTCTTCGAAGTAGCGCGCGCTGCGTTCTTCTCGAAATGTTACTGGCCCGATGGCAAGTGCTACGAAGTAGCGCGCGCCGGGCCAGACCATTAACAATGGTCAACGTACTACATGACAGAGACACCACGTACTATAGAAGCGCGTACTCGTAGAGGGATAATCCCCCTAAATCTATAACGCGGCCCGGTCCCCCCTGTACACTGTACAACGTGTGTTTTAGCCAAACATTTTCATCCCAAGCGTTCAGATAAGCTAAATTTTTGCCCGAAAATTGGCTTTTTCCGTGTCAATTTGCTAGTTTGTTTTGACTAAAATGTATCCAAACTGTCTGATCTTGCAAATAAATCATGTCATCTGTTGGGGAAACGTTTAGAACTACGAAACAAACGTCAAAAGGGGTTGACTAAACCATAAACGTTGATTACTAGGTTAAGCAGTGATTTATGAAACCCCATTTATAACGCGGTCCCCCTGTAACTGTAAGTGTACAACGCGGTTTTTTCGGCCGAAAATTTTCAAAACCAAGGTCATGACTCTGAACATGGAAGATCAAGCGGGAGATCTTCAGAATCGCACGGGAGAAGCCATAGAAAACGTTGAAGACTTCATTTACCTTGGCTCTTGGGTAGACGGCACAGAGCGGGACATCAAAGTTAGAAAAGCCAAGGCCTGGGCAGCCTTACACAGGCTACAAAACATTTGGAAATCCAAACTCTCTAAAAGCCTTAAGGTCAGATTGTTCATTGCGGCTTGTGAGTCAGTGCTGCTGTACGGCTCAGAAACATGGACATTGCATGACAAAGGCTCAAGAGAAAAGTTTGGATGGGACATATACCAAGATGCTACGCATGGTGCTGGGTGTCACATGGAAGGACAAGGTCAGCAATGCTGTCCTGTACGGCAAGTTACCAAGGCTGAAGGCTTTCAAACAATATCGGAACTAGCTCAGACTTAGTAGTACTTAGTAGTACTTAGTAGTAGTAGTAGTAGTAGTAGTATTTTCATCCCAAAAACCGCGTTATACTGTATTAATACAATACATATTACATATGGAACACGTTGTAGGTTTACAACCTACCAGGACGCGCGCCGAGTTGGACTCGTCGACGGTCCAATATATGAAACAGATATTTTACGAGTATTGTTATTAACCACGGTACCAATTTAGTCAGGTGTTAGTTGCAAGTAATAATCACCTCTCCCATGTCCATGGTATGTAGTACTTTATTTCCTCCAAGAAATTATTTATTTAGAGCTCCTTTCGACTTGGCTAGAACTATACATGGGAGGCCCCGGTTATATCAAGAGAGTCCGTTTCGGAAGGTTCTGAACCCACGATTGAGCATCTTAAAACTTTTGTTTTATGGAAATTATAGTTTTGCTAGAATTCAGAGTTTCATGTTACTTCTTATTTATTTTAATGCGGTTAGTGATTATAATTCAGACTTTCAATTTTGGTGGGTTGACACAAATTGAAACGACAATATAGAACAAAATATAGAACAACTAATGGTAGTATAATTAATGAGCGAAAACCTTCTTAAATTGAAAGATGATTATATAACAATGGAAGTAACCTTTTTATACTATACTAATTAATTGACACGGTAGAAATTCTTCTCATAACTACAGGGTGGGCCAAAAGTCAGTGGGCATACGGTGACCTTAATAGCTCCGCCGTGTTTTATATTTGAGAGCTGTTGCTTTGCAGATGGCATACTGTACTTACTGGTTCGAGGATTCCGTTGTCAAGATTTGAAAATTCGAATATTTTAGACCACGCCCATTCAATATTAAAACACCTATATTGTTTTCTCTGAATATGCTGAACACCTAATTTTTTGAGAGACGGTAGATTATTAAATGTTGCATATGATCTGAAAACATGAGGCAAAACGGATTAGAAATGACGAAGTTATCAAGCATTTTCTGTATCTCGTTAACAAAATTGACTGGGTGATTATGTGACACCGTGACACGACACCTTAATTGGGCACCCTAAACAATCTTACTATATATAAAGCGAGACGATATATATATATATCCGTACCATTTTACTGACACCACGACATCAACTTTAACACGACTTTCCGCAAAAACCGTAAAAGATATACAACTTAAACTTTTTTGACTGATTCAAATGCTCTAATGGTCTTCAAATCAGCATGAAAAAATAAAAAATTGACCAAGGAATAATAATTTTAGTGCCCAAAATGTGGACCCCCAAGTGGTGTCAAAAACGCGAATTAAATAGGTAATAATTAGTTTAGTCTCTTGAGTCTTGACACCACTTTAGACGGGTTCCTGCTAGTTCCCATAATGTTTAACGGGGTCACCTAATCACGTGATTAGGTAAACCAATCACCTGATCCCACGTAATGAATAAAGTCGTTATTCTTCGTATCTCGGTCATCTGAGAAGCTACAGTTCTAATTTTTTGAGGACAAACGTAATTCGCATGGCCAAACACAATTCAATGAAATTTAGCTCGATCCGACATCTCAACTATCAAATAAATGCAAAAATGAACCTTCATTTGAAAAAAATGAACTCGAATATTTTTCGATTTGACAAATTTCTCGAACCAGTAGTGGTAGTAAGTCATACCAGAAAGAATTATTTCAATTGGGCACTCAGTGACTGAGCTATTAAGGCCAACGTATGCCCACTGACTTTTGGCCCACCCTGTATTTAAAGGAACTATCTTGGTCCAGGGGTGTAGGAATGATTTTCTTCATGGAGGGGCCAAATTCTAAATATTTTTTGGCGCTTCGTGCCACAGTCTAAATTTTTTGGCGCTTCGCGCCAATGCCTGAATTTCGAGGGTAAGGAAAAAAGGAAATTGCAGCATGTGCGGTATCGCGATTTTTCACGTTTGCCGCGACAAATCGCGATTTTTCAGATCCTGGCCTCACGACAAATCGCGATTTTTTCAGTTCTCCGCGTCAAATTGCGCATTTTCCTTTAAATCTGAGGACCAAATTCGCGTATTTTCCTTCATATCTGTGGGCCAAATATCACGTTTTCTATAATTAGTATATGAAACCAATCAGTATCACATCCACAACCTTCCGAATGTAGGTATACGGACTTCAAAAAACCGAAAAAATATTTTCGGCTCAGAATGATCAGGGTAGCATGAAACATGAACAAAAGTAATTTCCAGAAAAACTTTGAAAAATTTTTACTTAGAAAATTTTCGTTCCGAGTCATTCTCGATACGTACCTCTGAAAGCAGAGCTCCCGCTTCTGAGCTCGTTGCGAAGGGGAGGCCTGCCTTCCGAGATTGCATTACAAAGGGGAACCCTCGAGTCCAAAATCGTATATCGAACTTCGAAAACCGAAAAAAATATTTTCGGCTCAGAATGATCAGGGTAGCATGAAACATGAACAAAAGTAGTTTCCAAGAAAACTTTGAAAATTTTTGACATAGAAAATGTTCAGTCCGAGTCATTCTCGATACGTACCTCTGAAAGCAGAGCTCCCGCTTCTGAGCTCGTATTGCGAAGGGGAGGCCTGCCTTCCGAGATCGCATGACAAAGGGGAACCCACGAGTCCAAAATCGTATATCGAAGGGTAGGTGCGGACTTCGAAAACCGAAAAAAATATTTTCGGCTCAGAATGATCAGGGTAGCATGAAACATGAACAAAAGTAGTTTCCAAGAAAACTTTGAAAATTTTTGACTTAGAAAATTTTTGACTTAGAAAATTTTTGACTTAAAAATTTTTTGACTTCACTTACAAATTTTCGGGAAAAAATTTTTTTCCCAAAAATTTTTAGAAACCTAAACTAAAAAGTTGGCCCTTTTTGGCCCCTTGCCCAGATTTCATGGGGGGGGGGGGGGCGATGGCCCCCCTGCCCCCCCGCTTCCTACACCCCTGTCTTGGTCTCTAAGTATATGCTGGTGCAATCACCTTATGATAAGTCTCTCTCTTAGAAATAGTGTAGGAGGGCTGGAATATCACACCTCTTTAACTGAGTCTCACCGTCAACAGTTTGACTGTCACGAATGGTCTGAAAGCAATATCTTTTAACTATGGCAATAGAAACAATTTATTACGTAACCAACGGGAAAACTACTTTAATCCTGCACTCGTAAACATTAATATAAAAGAAATATCAAGTCTTACAGCTCTATCACCCAATACTTAATCAACTTAATTATTAAGACAACTACTATTTTATGCGGACGTTATAACTGAACTAAGTACCTCGGTTGACGAAGGAGAATCAATTATTCTAGCAGGTATCGGAAAGGCAGCACGGTTTGAGCAGGAATGTTCGGGTCTCTCTACCTGGGAACGGAAACGTAAGTTTGTACAAAGTATATAATTTTGAGAGCACGGAACTACGATTACCAAATATATTCTTAAACCTACTTATGTAAAAACTAATGGAAAAGGAATTTACCTCGAGAACAACTTCAATCCGTATAATGGTCCTACAAGTGAGAAGGAGATCGGGAATCTTATCGTCGTTAGCTTACTTCTACCCGGAAACCTTGGATAAAAAGTAATCAAAGAATCGTGCAAATTACTCTTAAGAGGATTTAAGATGGCAGAACGTTAGGCAATTATGAAGGATAATTTATCTATGATAAATGGAATATTAATTATTTGGAGGAGGTATTATATGTATCTTCTGCTGATCAAGTTGCACTTACTTAATAGTCACTGTTCTTTAATGTACAGGGGAATCTATTCGATGTGACGGATCGGATCCACTGCAACCTGGTAAGAATTTACTTTCAGTGTACTGCATAGAATTTATATGCCTAGAGGGTACGTGAATAAACACTAGAAACATTGTAAATATAAATTTCACGTCAGACTCTTTTAATAAGAAACAAAATACTAATTTAAACGGCGAACAGTAATTTAAAGCAAGGAACTTACTGAATACTTATGACTGGAAAGGTTAAAGCACCCGGGCGGAACCGGCTTACTGGACTCTGTTTACAAGCACGTTGCACTGACACAACCTAACATACTGCCCTGACGTGAGAAAGACATCGGTCCTTCGATCGTTCTCCGTTATATATCCCTGAATTTCCCAGAGTCCCAGAGTCTGCCGTTCCAGCCTTTTTTAAGGAACGCCAGTATTGTTCATCAAGATCGAGATTGCTCATCATGATCGGTATTGCTCCTCATTGTTTAAACTCCGCGGCTAATCATTCCTCGTCACGCTTCGTCTTGTGATAGGCTGGTCTGGTGCTCCTAATTAAACCCCTCCATAAGTCCGTGGTAACTCATCAGCCGTGTCGAATGATTTGATAGTTTTCTCACAGAAAGTATCCTTTTGTTAATTAAACGTCACAGTATATTCCATTTCTGGTATACTTCTATCGTTAACAAATTTACTATCTATCTTCTATGGAAATGGTTATTAACTATAAGCCTAAGTCATTTAACTCTTTTAAAGGAAGATTGAAATTAATATAGAATTTCGAGGTTCCTTACAAGTATCACCCGTTACGGAACACGGGGATCACGAAACCCTGTGCGAAATTGTTCTTCCTACTCAAATCATGGCAGAAAAACCTGAGTTTAGATTTTTCTATTTTGTACTCGAAGATTATAATTTTTGCTTTGAAAATTGTGTAGGCCTTGAAAATGAAATGTCTACATAGCAGTAGAGAAGCAATGAGGCCACTAATATACCAAAAACAATCTCCTACAGTTTCCGTTCAATCAGTCACTCTCAACTGTGTGATTAAGAATTGTGATAAAGTTCTTAAAATTTCTCTGTAAAATATTTCCTTGTGTTTAAAGTGTATCATGTGAGTTATATTCTGTATTGTGATTGTAATTTCAAAAGCAATGTCTGGTATGTAAGCACTTCCTGAAAGTTTCGTCCAAATCGGACATTGCAATCATGAGTAAATTACCAATAAATTGCAATAGAAACACTCAAATTTGTCCATAATTCCTGCTGTTTCACTATTCCATATTCCAAAATTAGTCCTCTCGGACCAGCTAACCCCCGACATCAATATCTTTCGGACCAACTTATTCCGGCCAACAAACTCCCGGACCTTCTAACTCCGGAAAATTTAGACTTCGGAAAAATGACCAAATCAACGGTTTCTGGAAGGTCCGGAGTTGGAAGTTTCACTGTAGTGCTTCAGCTTTCCCAAGCAAGTGAGTAATAGCAAATAGGTGTCTCAGTTGCATAGTTTGTACCTCAAGTACCTCAAAAAATTTCCTCAAGTGCCCCAGACGAGTGCCCCAAGTGCCCCAGACGAGTGCCCCAAGTGCCCCAGTGCCCCAACAGTGTAATAGGGTTGTCTGACTAGATGAGGCATTAGGATTATGATATATAATAATTGCATGAGAGTAAAATTGATCCATGGATCTGATAACAAGAGACGTTGAAATATGATCGGTGAATCAGACAGTTGATTAGCCAGCCAAACGATAAGATCTATCGTGTAATCATTCGATCAATTAACTATGCAGCTTGAGAGGATGCTTCCTTAAACATTGTTTAAGGTGCTAACTGTCGAAATGCTGTTTGAAGATGATGTGATGACGAGGAGTATAAAAGGTCATAGTTTATTTCAAAAGATTATCCGTCTTTAGTCGCTTGTTACTTAATTATCTATAAACGTTTAAAACATGTCAATATCATATTTTAACGGCTTAGTGGCTCAGTTGGTTAATCCAGGCCTGGTATTGCTTGAGGTACCAGGTTCAATTCCCGACTCTGTCACTAGCCGTGGTGTGAGCGTCGTCGACGCTCAGCTAAGGATCCTGAGTGGTCTATGCAGCCCCCCGGTCCACTCAGCCAAATACTCGAGAAATCGGGTGTGAGGGTTAAATGAGGAGATGCCCATTGCAGCAAAGTCTCGGGCGAATAAAGTATGGTACACACTACCTTAACCTTCACTGGCCTAATGTATAATTGAATCCTTCGGCTTCCTGTAATTGGCTGGTTACACACTTGTGTAACAATGTGGCTGTTGGAATGTCCGAAGTAAAATAAGTGTTGAGATTTAAAAAAAATGCGATACATGTTATGAGAATATTAGCATTGAAGGAAGAACTTGCCGGAAGCACTGTGTCCATAGATTCTGCTACTGATAATTCTAAGATTGCGTATGAGGAACAGTTGCCCTATAGGCCTATATGCAAGCGTAGGATCTCTAGCCTGCATATGATTAATCTAGTGACAGGAGAAGATCTTTCCCGTTGTGAATCGGTTTACAGCCCTATTACAGACGGTCAGTGTACTCCTCCTATGGACGATCTAGAAGATTCTTGGTCTCCTATACTGGCAGTAACCCCGTCCGTTATAGATGCGGAATTGCAAGCGTAAAATAATTTGATTTTAAATATGACCTTCTCATTTCACTATGCAATTATAATCAGCCAAGAAGATGTTTATGTTTATTAATTTCATATTTTTTTAGGCTGCTATCTTTGAAAGATGGTTTATATTGGATACAACAGACGAGGATGATGTGGCATCATCCACGATGCAGCTACCGGAGACCGAAGAGGACTTTAGTCCTCTCCTAACCACTAACCAGTACCATGATCGTGCCTGAGCCAGTCGCTAAAGAGGCTTTAGATCAAGACATGGAAGGATATGAAGCTATGGAAGCACAGTTTCATTTCGGATTCAAAGAGGACTCCTCTAATGAAAGCTTGTCTAGATTTTCAATTGATTTAGCAGTTGTGAGTGTTGATGGCATCAACCTATCATCGAGGTCCATTCTCAAAGAAATGTCAATCAGATTGGAGGACGAGAATTCCTATAGACATTTCGTGTTCAACAAACCCGCGGATCTGGAGATGACAGCCAAGGACAAAAAGACGGAAAGCTTTGCAAAGAGGATTCTAGGAGCAGCTGGTATTAACGACTTTGCAGCTGGTTCCCTAGATTATTACTCCCATATAGGAATCCTTTACTCACTGGCAGATTTTAGAATATATTGTGCGGGACATGTGGCACATAAGTTCCTGACAAATATCCTCCCATATGCAAATATTTATGATATCCAGGAGATATCAACCCATACGTTCCCGAAAGAACTACCCACAGCCTGGTGTGGAATCTCTCACAACCCTCGATACTGTAGTTTAGCAAAGTTGTGGAACATAGTGCACTTTGTGCATAACGTGTTGGAGAAGTAGACACTTTAATTATGATATTTTATTGGTTATTTATGATATTGTATATTTTGATTTAGTTATTTACCTTACATGTTTGTATTTCTTGTCACACAATAAAACAAAAATGTCAGAAACTGTTGTTAAAAGAAACAGTTTAGAAAACTCCTAATTAATAAGCGGCCTTTATGCACTTTAAAATTTAATCTGAAAGGGGAGTCTGCAGAGGTACTTGCAAGTGCCTTTAGTTCGGTGTTTGTTAACGAGCCACTCGGCCCATTACCTAGAAGTTATAGTAAGAATACTAATAGTATATCTGATATTGTTATTACCTTTGATAAGGTTAAAAAGGAACTATTAAAGCCTAATATTTTTAAAAGCACTGGCCCAGATGGGCATCATCCAAAGCTGCTTAAGTCCCTAGCTGGAGATGCTAGTTTTGTAACCGCTCTTACTAAATTATTTAGTGCCTGTAGTGATACTGGAAATCTTCCGGAGATATGGAAGTCGGCATCTGTAGTTGCACTTTTTAAAAAGGGCTCTAAGTCTGACCCTCTTAACTATAGACCAGTTTCTCTTATTTGTATTCTTTGTAAAGTTTATGAACAGTTTGTTAAATCCCATGTGTTAGAATTTTTAGAAGACCGTATTTCAAAGGACCAACATGGGTTTGTTAAAGGAAAATCTTGTTTGTCAAATCTTTTGGAGACTTTCGACACTATACTTAATTTAATAGATGAAGGTGCTCCTGTGGACTTATTTTATTTTGATTTTAGTAAAGCTTTCGATTCTGTTCCCCATTATCGCTTGATTAACAAGCTAGAGAGTCTAGGGATAACTGGTAAAGTTTTAGATGTAATTACAGATTTTATCTCAAATAGAACTATGAGAGTGTGTGTAGAAGGTGAAACTTCAGAGTGGAAGATTGTATGGTCAGGAGTTCCCCAGGGATCAGTCCTTGGACTATTACTATTTGTGTTATTTATTAATGATTTACCAGATAACATTAAAAGTAAAGTTAAAATATTTGCTGATGATCTTAAGCTTATAGCTAATGCCTCCGAGCATGAAACTATAGTTAATGATCTGAACGAAATAGAGATGTGGGAGAGTAAATGGCTTTTAAAGTTTAATCCTACTAAGTGTTCGGTAATGCATTTAGATGTTAACGATAACCCAAGATCAAGTTATTCTCTTAATGGAGTTACATTGGCAGAATCTGTACAGGAAAAAGATTTGGGAGTTATAACCCATATAATAACTCTCTGCTTTGGAATGAACAGATTAAGGCTTCAATATCTAAAGCCAACAGAATGATATGTTGGATTGTTAGAAATCTGATTATCAGGGAAAAATCTGTGATGATATCCATTTACAAAGCTTTGATAAGACCCCATTTAGAGTATTGTGTTCAACTGTTCCTGAAGATTGGTTGGCAACTTGGTCGTTTAGCTCCGGACAGTCTATGCAACGTCTATGCAACGTCCATGCAACAACAAAAGAACCGTCTATGCAACGTCTATGCAACGTCCCTGCACAATGAACACTCTATGCACACTCCCTGCACGGTCAGTCTATGCAACGTCTATGCAACGTCTATGCAACGTCTAC